GAAAGTTAAAAGTTATTCTGTGTATATAAGAGCGGCAAGTTTCGTATCCGAAGAAAACCTATGTTTGCAGACATGAATACCTCCAAGAAAGTAGATTCAAAGGGGCCAGATAGTTTAGCAGTGAAATTGAAGGACGCTAATTTAGCTGAATGGAGCGTAGGAGATTTAAAATCTGTGTTGACAGAGATGAAACTGAAGGTTGCCTGAACGAAGAAGGAGCTTCTCGATCGGCTGCTTCCGTTTGCCAGTGACAACAATCTGTTAGAAAAGAGACTTAAAGAGGTAAAAAATATTAATTTTTTTCAAACAAGTATGGATCCAACTGAAATACCTCCACCATCGTCTGTATGGAGTACGGACCAATCGCTTTTTCCCCTTGTAGACGCGACAACCATAAGTCAATATACACTGGATTCAAGAGACAAGGTCGCAAAGGACAATCGCAAGGCCCAGAGAATCTTTAACTCGAGGAAGATAAAGACAGTTAAAGTTCATAAAAATGGAGAAGTTACTTTTGTAAAGGCCATGATCATCAAAAGTTTAGGGCAAGAGATCACTCTCCCGGCTGTATTGGAATTCAAAGATAATTACGCAGTGAAAGGATACTGCGAGTGTCCAATAGGTAACTGTGGAATATGCTGTCACGCTGTTGCCCTCTTATTGTTTTTACAGCATTACTCCAAGCACAAAGTTTGTTTGTTTTCCCTAACTTGCACCCAGGAGATGCAAAAGTGGCATAAAAAAGGTACGGAAAGTCAAATATGGCAACAAGCACTCCCCACATACGTCTCAAAGCATACAGTAATGCTTCTTCTTCTAGGAAACCTTTGAAAATCAAGACAGGACAGGAAAACAACGGGGAAAATTGAGTGCAGCAGTTAACGATAATTCAAAGAATTCCTGGTTGAAAAGGGATGTAGAAGATATCTCAGGTCAGATGATGAAGGATCTTAATAGCCATAGAGTGCAGCAGCATTTCTACAAAACTTTAAGAAAATATGGAGTCAACTCTGGACTTGCAATGCAACTTTATTATAATAATTCTTATTAGACGAGAATTGTGTTCAGTGACCATAATTATTGCAAAGATGTTGAAGAACTTTATGACAACAAAGTTTTAAGAACAAGGTTTCCATGATGTATGGCACTCAAACCTGAATTATGTGAGCAGTTCTGAAGTCACAGATCTAGGTGATGTCAGACTTGTAAAGGAAACAGTTGACCGAAAAGATCAGACTCAAATATTAATGCATGAACACCAACATGGATTAATGCAATGCCAAAAACTGTCAAACAAGTTATTTTTCACAGAGAGTAACACATAACAATGCTAGGGATTGAATTGATCATTTACACATCTAGACTCCATTAATTTTATTTTTTATATTTTTACGAAAGCATTGCCAGGTTTAGAATCAAATTGTCAACCAGAACAGTAGCAATATCGATATTGCCAGTGTTCTAAACAAAAGCCATGCTTAATGGACTTAAAAATGATACACTACTTTACATTTAGCTGCTAAATACATGTATGTTTCATTCAAGTCAGATCATCTCAGTTCTTTATATTAATTACAAACAAATTTCTGAACAATCCCTTTTGGGCCAACAGGACTTTTCAAGGTGTTTACAACATGTGCAAATATTTTAAAGCAGTAACCTAGTATATCAGTTCGATTCATGGGCCAACAGGTATTCAAGATGGTCCAGTCTCTCATTCGTCCAATGAAATTTTCGTTGTATATCCTCAGTGTTGCAAAGTCAAAATTTCTGCTGATGTCAGTTTGTTCATACTGGGAATCAAATATTAATGGAGGGCGATTATGTAGTAGTCCCTTATGTTGGCACAGGTCTGCACTGTCAAATCCTTTGTCAGTTAGTATGATTTTTCCCTTGTTCACTTTGTCCAGCACTTCATATTGTTGTGATGTCCTTATCAGATATTGTTCCAGGGTAAGTGTCAATGCAATGGAAAAGACCACCATGGGGATAAATCCAAACAGATGTCTTCCCAGTCGTGTGGTTTTTATGTGAACTGAAGGTATTATTTATATCATAATTCTCTGACTGAGTTATCCAAGTTAATCAGTCGCATCTCCTAGAGCCTCTATTTCCACATAACCAGCATCATAAAATTCCTGTGAAAGGTATGTTTGGACAAACCCAGGTAATGGTTTGAGGTCAAGACATTCAAATACTGTTGATAAGAATATAGCCCAGCCAATAAAAGCTCTAGAAATTGTTGGCACACTTGTTTGCACCATCCTAGCCATAATACCGAGGTGTAGTGAGTCTACAAACTGTACAAAAAGCCACGAGTTCAGTTTTTGTGTCTAACTTCCTGCTCTTTGTCTCAAGACCTCCACCTTTGCAATCAGGGTAGCTGATCAGATGCAAAAATGGTACAACACACTCATACAAACATTCAAATTCATTTGTGGTAAGTTCGGTTAATTAAATAAACTTATCCTGTTTGTCCTTCAACATCATTTGGGTGAATTTTTCTTTCGTCAGTTCACTTATTTTATTTTCCTGCTTTTTTTCTTATTCGAGCAAGTGTTCTACCTGACATTTCAGCCTTTCCATCTCTTTGTCCTTCTCTTTCAATTTACTTGCCAGTTCTTCACACTGATTTCTAAGCATTTTATTTTCTAGTCTGTATTGACTTTCATCTTTCCCAGAAGCTAGATTTACTACAGGAGTTATCTCCTTATCCTCCTCTCTTTCTTTCTTCACGATTATTCGCCTTTTTGATTTTACTTAACAAGAAGAAAACTCTAACGATCGCTTAGCTGCTACCAGCTTATTTCCTTTTAACTTTGCACATTTTGATGCAGATTCCTCAAGATTTTGAACATACTATTCATTACAAACACGATCCGGTAGATCGTACAGGATTCCTCTTTTTCCTTTCGACCAGTGCTGGGAGCAAATAACTGCTTTCTTCCAATTGATGTCATCGTTCTTTAGAGTGTGTCTCTGTAAAAGCGGTCCGGTCAATTTTGCTTGAGACACAGATTTCCCTCATTTCTTGTGGGTTGTAAGACATTCATGTGCCTATACCAAAACCACAATCCGTTTGATCGGATCTCTTTATTTTTCAAAGTTTTATGGAAATAAAATTTCACTCGAGCGAAGGCCTGTCGTGACACTTTTCAAAACTTTAATTTGAGACAATTTTGGAGGACAATTTATAAAAAAAATTGCGGAACTCAGCAAAAAACAAATACCACAGCCATGTATATTAATTCTATCTTATCCATCTGAGGCGACTTTCGTGAACATCACATTTCAATCAAGGAAACAGGAAGACTTGAATGACACCTTATCGGTTCGCTTAAGTCACACACGCGAAAACCGATCAAATTCAAGGTAAATTTTTGAAAAAGTGAGGCGTTCTTAACTGATCCAACTAACATAGTTAGGAAGTAGATGCCATAGAAAAGGTAACTACAGAAAAAAACTTTGCGGCCCGACCTTTACGAAAACTTTATAACTCCACGAACTTACCTAATTTTCGGCAATCTCCAAGTTTGGCCGCCATTTTGAGGGACTTATCAACATGAAGCGTTGCAGACACAAATCGAGCAGGTAGATCTAAAACCGTCAGAAATACATGCGAAAGCAATTCAAATAAACTTTACTTTCTATTCAAGCAGCAAAATGTGAAATTATTCGTAATACTTACCATTCCTACATTCCCATGCGACCATTTCTTCCAACAATTCAAACACAACTAGTGTTCAAATTCCCCTCGTCAGTCCACCATAAGAAATAACCTGTGTCACCCAAGCTTGGACTCAAATGTGAAGTACGAATCAAATAACACAACTGCTTCTTCTTCGAGGCAATATCATGCTGGTATTTTGATTTTCTGATCGACAAGAACGGTGTTCAGTAAGGGATCGCCATGTTTACCTCATACACGGACCGCTGGCCAGCCGCTGAGTGAAAACAGAACGGTGTGGGGTGGGGTGGGTGGGGGCTTATCGTCATAAGATATTAGAATACATGCTTAAAAAACTTTGGGACTCCCAGTCNATCGACGTCGCAAGCAGGTTGTGATCCTTACACCACTGTATGCACCGGTCGTGATCCGATAATAGGGACCTTAAGAAACCACGTCGGCGACGGCAACGAGGACGTGGAAAAACAAGAGATATTATTGGCAGAAATATAGTTCAGCACGTGCGTTTTGAAACTTTGTACATTTCTTAGCCTTCCTATGCAAAACATCAACGTGAAATCGCCAAACTTTACGTCGTCTGCTAACCGAAACCGCGACGGCAAAATATTTTAATTTCCATTTAGAACTCAACGGCTACTTTATACGTCATGCTGAAGTTGAGCTGTGGCGCTGTATGAGACAGTAAGCTCCTGCAGCCATTTTTGAAATTCTAACGAAGAGTAGAAATTCATTTTTTAATCGAAGTCTTCCTTGGCGTCGCCGTTGTGGTTTCTTAAAGTCCTTAATATTCGAGAAAGTCGAATAAAATTCAGTCTCTCCATCTCCGAGTTGTAGTTCTTCTTCCTTTTATCTTCTTCTTTCGTTGATGTTATTAGAAAGAGGTATGAATAAATTTTGTGGTATTTGGTATTTATTATGTGGTATTTGGCCAATCGTAGAGAAGAAGAAATGCATTCTTTAGTGCAAAGGGGACCTTTGGTGCATTATATCAATGCACATTTTGTTATGAATTTTTTTTTTACTGAAAGGTAAAAGAAAAAGTAGCTTTTGGAGAGGAACTACTAACTGGTTTGGGTAGCATAGTGATAAGGCTATGGTTTGATAATGGTGTGATAATAAGGCGTTGTCTGAGGAGCAATGGTTCAAGGCTCAGCAGATCTACCAAGACGGTAAAATGGAAAGAAAAGAAAAAGAAGAAAAACCGAAGAGAAGTTAGGAACGAAGGGGAGAAGAAAGAAAAACGTGAGAAAGGAATGGAGACGAAAAAGCCGCATTCAATTAATTTCTCTTTTATTGAAGCAGTAAGTACTTATTAGTAATGTATAAGTGCTAAACCCATGGGAATAAGTCATTGTATTAAAAAAACAATGGGATGCAAACATAATTAATGTATGGGGTTCTATGGTACTCTTTCCGAATGTGAGAATGACGGAAGACATACCGAATGTGGGATTTTTTTAGCGAAAACCTTTTACTTACAATGCGTGGCAAAACAATTGTTTAGCAATTTCGTACAGACGGAGGTCCGTAACAATTTGTTGAAATCTTTCCCTTCGTCTTCCATTCCGTTGTGATCAAGGTAGACCGTTTACAGCTCAAGTAAAAGTGAATATGCCGGAGAAAAATCAATTTGGAAAGTTATCGAAATTTAAGACTTAGAGCGACGGAATTAACTTTGGAGTAATGAAATAGAAATGCGATTTCCAAAACCGATAACGACGGTGGTTGGAGGATGAAAAGAGAATTTTCTCACTTCAAGTAAGGCTTTGCGACATTTGAGATACTTTTTTGGACCGGTAAACGTTGTTTTAAGTATTGATATGTTCAAATGATATCGTTCATCGAAGATTTAGCCTTAAATACTCAACTTTCAGAATTTTCAATCCACGCTACGTGATTTTATGGTAGTGAAATCATGTAAACAACGGGTTCCAACGTAGTGAATCTATCACCCGGGACTCGCAAATACAAGAAATTTGTTCGTTCGTTTCCTTCAGAATTCTTAATTTTTAATTTTTAATATTTCGCGGTCATTTCGTCATGCATCTTATTAATAGCATCTGGTAGCACGCGATTATCCGGTAACCTTGGCAAATTTGCATTTTGACACCAAGCATGTTCTGCGATTTGTATCTCAAGTTTTTATTTCTGAGGAAAGTCTTTCTTTTTCTTTCGGGCAAAGAAGAGAAAAGAAGAGAAAAATAAGCGGAATGCTACATCAAGGAAATGGAGATAAACTTCCTGATAAAATGTCAGAAACAATCGTTTTACCACGAAAAGTAAACAAAACACTTTCTTTAAATTTACATAACATTACGGAATCGCGCCCATTGAAAAAGGTCGTACGGGAAAATGCAAATAAGCTAGAAAAGAACAAGAGAGCATCTGTAACTTCATGCGGGCCTGTCAATCTGACTGTCAATCATGTAATCCCCCGTGTACGCCGTGTTCGCAAGTATTGTTTCTTGCTCAGAGAATCGAAACATAGCGTTATTCATCGAAGAAGAATAGCCGTAATCTTGATTAGGCGATATTGTTTAAAAATCGATCACATGTAAAATTATTTATTCAAGCCGAGCGATTTTTTCATAAAACTTTACCAAAATCTCGAAAATTTGAGCTAGAGAAGAGTTTTCTGTTTATAGCTGAGTGTTTTTCCATATATAATTTTTTCGAAACTGCAAATTGAAAGGAAACATAGATATATTCGTCTATAAGCCGAGATATTGCATGCAGAAATAAATTAACAAAACGAGTTGAAGTTGGTGATTGACTTCATTTATGCGGTGGCTTCCAAAGGAGCTATTTGTTGTTTTCGGTGCGTAGTAAATACGGCTTACTGTTCGTCCTTGGTGTCGGCGTCGAATCCGTCGTCCATCTCCTCCTCCTGATGATCTAACAGATTGAAGACAAAACTGCTTGGAACGGGAAGCACCGTAATAGTCAAAGAGAGAATACGAAGAAAGTGGAAGAAATACTAACGTAAGAAACAGTGCGCGACTAAATAACTCAACAATCAAACAGAGAAGATAAAAAAGAGTGCGCATGATTGTAACGCAACAATCATACAGAGAACGAATCAAAAAAATGCGCGAGATAATATAAATTTAAATCAAACAGGGAAGACACCAAACAGTGCCTTAGCCACTTAAGCAAATCTCAAACCGACAATTAAAGGAACATATATTGTGCGAGACACTAACGTTAAGTCAAACGCGAAAAAATGAAGAAACAGAGTGCGTCAAATACTAATTAAGAGTAAAATCTTACATAAAAAATAACAAACACTGCGTGAGAGGCGAAAGCAAAACTCGACCAAAACTGAAGAAAATAATAGTTTGGGAGATGCTAAATTAACAGAAAGTAAGGTGGATGCCAGTCAATGCAGGAGATGTGAACACAGCAATCCACGATTAGAATGTACCGGCGGATTTGAACTCAAATGGTAACCAGGCTGGAATAAGACTAGGGTCGAGAAGGACTAGGGTCGAGAAGGACCTTGCCATTCGTAATTTATGATATAAGTGCAAACACCCTAAGAAAATAGGTTCTTTGATCGCACTGCACCCTTACATGTACATCCAATCCACTTCTTATTTCAATTTGTCGTCATCGCCTGTAAACGTGGGCAATGTTAATATTTTATTTTGATTCAATAGTGTGTTTTTGTGACATGACGTGGAGATTTTCGTCGTTTCCTCTCTGTAAACAAAATCAAGGCGTGGTTGACCAGGTTCCTCTAACAAAGACCCCGTTATTCCATGTGTTTTGTTCTCCATTTCATGACAAGCTAGATAATACACTCATTTTGATTGGTTCTTACTTATAATCTATTAGAGGGCAGACAAATAGGTGACTTCTCAAGTAGTTTAAGGCCTGGGTCAGGAGATTAAATTGCCTTAACAAAATAAACAGCCATATCTCCATAAATAAACAGCCGATTTCGCTGAAAATTTCAAGGACGATAGATATCCATACGAACTTTTACCTTATGGCAACAAAACCGACGACGACGGTCACGTG